TGGGTAGATGAGCCTTGAATTTTGAGAAACATGAGAGAAAAGCCTATATACGATTGCCTCAAACAGGCTGTTTGTAGTACTCTGACACTCCCGTTTGTCAGTTGTCAGCTGAACTCAGAATAGAGGGAGAAATGTGTGAGTGGAACCTAGAGAAAGTAGTTCTTTTTTACACGGGGTAGAAAGCTTCAGAGAATTGTCTCTTTCGTAGTGAATACATGATTAGCTTATGTTTGTAGTTGAGATTTCCCAAGAAAATGTTGAAAGTGTGACTTGCTTCTTTATGATAAAATGTAAGAAGAGAACGCTAAATTGAAGGAAAAGCTATAAAAGGAGCCAGAACTTGAGTAGAATTTGCACATTGATAGAGGTGGCAAAGGAAAGAATACTTTTGAAAATGTAGCCTAGAGAAAAATACAAGGTGATAACGATACTGAATGACTTGGAATCTCCCCACAGTGTTTTTGTTTTTGTTTTTGTTTTTGTTTCATGAGAGGCTCCTTTAAGAAATATAAGGAAATTCTACCATTCTAAACCAGACTCAAGACATGTGTAAAGTTTAAACATCTCATCTTTGTGTCTTAGAAAGAGCCTCTAGAGGGGTTATGCTCAGAAGATGGTGTGGTTGGCGTGCAATGGCATGAACCCCCTGGCATTTACTGACTTAGTTTATTATTGAGAAGTCACTGTGGGTGAAAGCATTGCTAGCTTGGACTGGAAAGAGAGGGTGAGGGGGCAGGGGCCTGCACAGTGGGCACCCTCTCTTCATTGGCTCTATATCTTGGAGGTTTTCTTGACTAAGCTTTATGGTCCAGCATTTATGCTGTGAAGATCAGAGCTTATGGCCTGTTGTTTTGGGTACTCTTGCTCCCTTTCATGTTTACTGTGTTTCCTTTCATTTTACTCTACTTTGTTTTAATTGATGTGGTCTATTAGACTTCAGCCTGCTTAGGTGTCTGAGAATAAGCTGCTCATGCAGTTAGAACTTTGTTGTTCGCTTAGATTAACTTGTTAGTACTGATGGATGCTCATTTCCATGCTTTCCCTGCTAACTTCCCCACCCAAATTAACATGAAGGACAATTTACTTGAATAAAAATGAACATTTAAGGCAGGGAGCAGAGTCTATGATCAAGGTGGATGATATGGAAATTTCCTTTGAGAGAACTAATGAGGAAATGGTAGTGAAAACAGAACTTTGGAGGGAACAGGAACAGTCAAAGTGTAACTGCAGAGAACTTGTAGCTAAAAGTAGTTTACATTGAAAGAGCTACCTAACTCTTGGACAGTTAGTCACATTTAAAAATAAGGCAACAGCCAGGTATGGATAGAGGAGAGCTCGCAGGGTCCTACACCTCACGACTGAACTATTTCCTATCAATAGATTAGGGAAAAGAGTCATTGCCTTCAGTAGTGTACCCACTGCTGATAGTCTCAACTCAGTCCTTACTCGGATAGCCCAGGTTCATCTATAAAGTCCTTTTCACTGTTGTCAGAAGCCTAAAAAAAAAAGGTTGTTCATGATTCTAAAACTTACATAGCAAAGAAAGCTGTGCTTTTGAAAAAGGAATATGAGGTGGTGATGGTTTTTTTTACTAGATATCCCTTTGCCTTTCCCTGAAGCTCAAGAAATTAAATACTGCAATTTACAAGAGAGAACAAATGGACCAAAACCTAGAATGTAAGTACAGGGTAGCCTGGGTTACATGTGTGAGACACTAGAGATGGTTCAGCAGGTAAAAAGGGGCATGCCAACCTGAGTTTGATTCTCGGAACCCATGGTAGAGGAGGGAATTTATTCCAAAAAATTGTGCCCAAAATAGTATACAATATCCACACTTACACGCATACATCACACATACACACACATTCAGACACTATATACACACAAACACACACACCACACACTGATATACACATAAGCAAATAATTTTTAAAAGAAATTAGAAAAAGAAAGAAAAATCTTTGAACTCTTTCCCCACCTCAAATCTTTCATGCCTTGCTTTTTTTGTAAACATAATAGAAAGATAAGAAAAAAATAACTTCAATATAGCAAGTTTGTGTAAGTGTACAAATACTGGTGTGTATGGGGGGGGTAGAATGAATATGAATTCCGTTTTGATATTTGTGACACATAGCATTTGTCTGCATTCCTGACAAGTTTTTCTGGCATTTTAAATTTAATTGTGTAAGTATAAGAATTTATTTGATTCTTATAACTTCATTTTCAACTAAAATAATTTTGATTTATCCCAGTAGCAGCTCAGCTCTCTCTTGTTGCTTAAGAAAGCATCCTCAAGCTGAAGAGGCAGCAATGACAAGTGTTCACTTTGCTCATAATTGCTGGGGTCATCGGCATAGCCCTGGTGAGGCAGGAGTGGTTCTCCTGTCCCTAGTCAGCTGGATAGCTGCAATTAAGCCACTCAGGTGACCTAGCCAGCCATTCTCAAATGTCCTGGTGGGTTCCACCAGTGGGCCTGACCCATATCTGTTTTTGTGGGCTTTATCATGTGCTATTTGGTCCCCAAAACACTGAAAAACAAATCAGCCAGAGCTTGTAAATGCCCCTCAAACCTCTGCCTTGGGCTTTGCACTCATTGTTCAATATTGTTCGGAATATTCCAAGTTTGATGTGTATTTGTCCCAAGGCCCTTCATTGTCCCAATGTTATGTTATGGAATATTTCCTTGGTTTTTTTAAAAGGCAGCAGCAACACCAAATCCCCTGGAGCCCTCCACCCCCCACTCATTCATATACATATCCAAACGTTTTAAGTTCATGTCATTCTTTTTAAGTAATCATTGTCTTTTTGTTTGTTATTTCATCATTTTACCCTTTAATCTCTCACTAAAGAAGGGCAAGATTCTAAATTTATCAATTGGGAAACTTGGCCAACTTCACATAGCATTGGTAGATACAGTAAGTCAAGTCCACGTTGCCTCAGCCCTGACTTCTGCACTGTGTTACTCACTGACTGGTAGCATAGTGAGCTGCCTCCCTAGGAGCATGTTTGGGAGGGTTGCATTTTCTCATTGTCCTTTCACTAGCATGACCACCAGAGTATCAGTCCAGTTTTTTTTTTATTGGGTTGCTAGGAGAATTTTAGGTTGTTATTTTTTTTCCTCTTTATACAACCACATATTTAGAACTGGGGTGGGGGTGGGAAGATGGATAAGAAATTGTTGGGTTAACAACATTCTGTTTCCTTCTTTCTAACATCACTTAAATAATGATGTTGGTCTTAGAAAAACAGAAATTTGGGGGACTGAGAAGTTGACCGAGCTGTTAAGAGTCCTGGCTTCATCTCTAATGGACTAGAGTTTGGTTCCTAGTACCCACAGGGTCAGCTTACAACTGCTGTGTTGTGCACTACCATCTGGCTACTGTGAATCAAAGACCTATCCTCTAGAAGAATAGCCAGTGCTTTTTATCAGTTGCTCAGACGTATCTCTAGCTGGAGAATATAATTTATTTTTAATAATATATAGCTAACATTTATTAATTCTTAATGTCAGGGCCTGATTTATAGTACCTAACATACTTTGTCTTACTGACCCACAGATGGATCTGTGAGATCCATGTTTGTTACTTAGAAATGGACACTGAAAAGCTGAGCAATTTACCTAAGATTGCATGCTAATAAATGAGAGAGCTGGACATTGAGTCTAAGCTGTGTAACTCTATTGCTCATGCCTATCTGTTAGCCAGCACTAGTTAATTTCTCCTAATCCCTAGATCTACGGATCTGTTTAAACAAAAATGTTAGGCAAAGTGCCATGAATTAAAGATCTAAGCTTAATGTATACATTTAAGTTTTGATACATATAGACATACTCTGATGAACCATTATCATAATTAAGATACTAACTACATTTACTCATTCATCCCAGTTTCTTCCTTTTCCTTATTCTTTGAGGTTTTCCAAAAGGGTGGTATGGATTTCTACTGCCCTGGAAACAGCAAAGTACAGGTTGATCATTCCTAATCTGAAAATCTGAAGTAGGATATGATGTAAAAATATGAAACTTTGAGTACCCACATGACACACTAAATGGAAAATTCCACTCTTGGCTTCATAGAGCAGGCTTCAGTCAAAATATAGGCACACAAAAGTTGTATGAAATCACCTTCACATATATGTACGAGGCACATATGTGATTTAGATCAGTGTTGTACTTAGACTTACCCCATTCCCCAAATGTCTTGTTATTTATTTGCCAGTACTTCAAATATGAAAAAGTCTGAAACCTAGAACACTTTTAGTCCAAAGACTATCCAAAAGGGATACACAGACTGTATATAAAATTATTTTGCTGATTCAATAGATTCTATAGTTCATTATAATAAATTCATATAAATCCTTTAAAAAGAGTATAAGTATGAAATGTTAAATAATACAAATGTCTAAACCTTAAGGTCTATTTGAACATTAACTTTAAAAAGGGATAAGAACATAAGCTTTATTTCAGTGTTCAAATCTCTATTTTCATCTTGCAGAATCTCTGTAATGAAATTGATTGTATATGGAAATAGCAAACATGCTGTATGTTCTCTCTTTCCAGGGGCCTAGCATTAAATTGGTACATGTAATTTAGTAGTAGTAATTGGTACATGTGATTTATTCTCATTATTGTTTTTTTGTTTTGTTTTACCAAGTTTGAGCATTGGCTTAAATGTTAGATCTGTGATATACAGTGGATAATGTAGTCAGATTTGAAACACATTCTTCCTTCAAAACCCCTCCTCTGTTGATCATGCTGTGCTGTTTACTGTAAGGCCATTTGTTTGACATACAAGTTGAATTAATGTGACTGAATATTAATCACATTGAATAGACGAGTGATTTTATTGTTAATAATATATGACGTTTTAAACTTAAATTGATAATAAAATATGAAAATTTTACCTTTTTCATTTACATATCATAAGTAACCATCCAGTACAGTCAGGAAAACTGTATCAGATATTCTTGAAATCTCCCTCTGTCTTTATTTTCTTTTCCAGGGTTACATTCTGCCATCTGCCTTTCCAGAGTAAGTGGCTCTATGTGGGCACTGAGCGAGGTAATATACACATTGTCAATGTGGAGTCCTTCACACTCTCAGGCTATGTCATAATGTGGAATAAAGCCATTGAACTGTAAGTCTGAGCAAATAGTCCATATCTGAACCTATCAAGTATAAGTAGCTTATGTCTTTTATGTAATAGCCAACTAGTGGATCCATGTGGGATTGCTATATCAGGCATTTTATATAGGTCTTTTGGTCTTTTATAAGTATTATCTTATTTTCATGACGATTGATAAATTTAAACCTTTTTTCAATTCACATATACTTAAAAATATTTAAATTATATGTTTTCTTCTATAGGTAAACTGTTACATTTGATAGTTGCAGTGTGTAGTTATTCCTGTTAGGTTGAAAACATTCACATTTTCATTTATCTTCTAATTCAATTATGTTTCCTTAATCTTCTAATTATTTTTCTTTTAAATGGTGGTCATGGACTACAAATGTGTTATTGCCATTGTTTATAAAATACTGATGTAGGCTTCTCTTTTATATCTTACAATAATCAAGATCTGTGAATGTTTATTAAAATCAGTATATCACCAAGATTAACAAGAACCAGATTGAACTGTGGTGCCCCAAATCTCTAGTGCTAATTTTCAATTTCCTCAAATTTTTTGTCATTTCTTTTCGAAGTTTTTACTTACAGTGTTAAGAATAAAGATTTGAAGCTGTTGGCAAAACTCTTCAAAAAATGCTTTCTACTGTTTATTCTTTCGACACAGAAAAAAAAGTCTTGTGACGTATCTCAAACAACACTCTGGTGTAGCAAGAACAGTGTGCTGAAGCTAGTTTTCCTTTCTGTGGCAAGGGCCTTCTACCCTTCCTTGGAAGTGTGGGTTTTCATTTTGTTCTTGGGTTGATCATGGCATCTAGTGGGTAGAGGTGGTCTGAGTCTTCACAGGTCTGAAGTGGCCAAGATTCCCAGTCTCCAGCACTCATGAACAAATATATGCTTTTTCCAAAGCCATGGGAGTAATTCCAGGAATACTTTTACTTATAGTCTCTCTCTGTTTCTGTTATAGGTATCGGTAACATTAATTTGTGTGTTTTCAAAAATAAAATAAATAATTTTTTAACTTCAGTAATTCACTGTAGATTGGGATATCCCAGCTGACACCTCACATTAAATGCTGCATTGTTTTAATGTTAAAATATTAACTTTATGTTGAAAAGGGATTTTCTATGCTAAATAAATGTTTGACAGAATTGAAATTTTTTTCTAAAAAGAAAATGCAGTTATAAAGCTTCTTGTTTTACGGCCTATGATTTTCACTGTTTTTTCTCTGTCAATTTATTGAACTATTTTCTTCATAAATGAATCTTTTATTGTAATGAATATTGAAACTTTTAATTGAATAAAAAACCCTTTTTTTTTTCAGGTCATCCAAATCTCACCCAGGACCTGTTGTCCATATAAGTGATAATCCCATGGATGAGGGGAAGGTAGAATTTTTTCTAAACAAATATTTGTTAATTAAATCCATGATGTTTTGACTTTTAAATATGCACAGTATCCTAGGACTGCACTTTTGCCGAAAAGTTGAGATTGGATCAAGGTTTGTATATCGAATAATGTAGTGGCTTATTATTCATAATGAAAAGCCAGTTGGAGAATTAGAATGATTTCTAATTAAAAGGGCTAAAAATACTAAAGCATAAATAAGATTTAATAAATATAAGGTATTCATTTGTATTTGAGTTACTCAAGATATTTTCCCTGATTTTGCAGACAGGTTTCTTTTTGAGGGGGCAATGGGGTATGAGTCCTAACAATTTATAGCCTTTGTAGTGCTTATCATATATTACATTAACTTATAGTAGTCTCTATCTCAACTTCCTTAAAATTTTCTTTATAAATAAATCCAAGTAATAATATAAAAATGTTTTTATGTTTCATAATCTTGTTTAATTTTTTTTGTACTCATACGGTCTGTATTGTTAGTTTGAGTTAGTTAATATATTTAAAAACAATAAAATTTTCTTTTTTTATTTATTTCTGTTTTCTTACTTAAACTAATCATCTTTTAGGTAGTTCTGTTTAATAATGACATTTTTCTGACCTATGTAATTTTGGGATGTTAACCTGAATGAACACCAGAAAGTTTGTTAGAAATCAGTGATTCAAATGTTATCCTATAAAGGGATTTGACCCAAATGTTTTCTTCTCTCAGTTAGAGAAACAGCAAACCATAAATTATTTACCACTGTTCTCTTAGCTTGCCCCTGTGAAACAAAAGCATACTTGGACTGTTTGGAATGGGCTAATGGCTATGGAATTATATGATTGGATTGGAAAGAAACATTTTTTAATTCACTTTAGAGCCTAATTGTAGCCCCCATCCCTCCTCTCCTCACAGTCCTACCCTGACTCCCCCTCTGCCATTCCCTCATTCCCTTTTCCTCAGAGAAAAGAGGTACCCCATGGGTACCAACCCATCGTGGTATATCAAATCACAGAAGGACTAGGTGTATCTTCCACTGAGGACAGACAAGGCAGCCCAGCTATATGAAAGGGATCCAGAGGCAGGCAACAAAGTCAGAGACAGGCCATGCTCCAATTGTTAGGGGACCCCCTGAAGAACAAGCTGCTCATCTGCTGCATATGTGTAGAGGGTCTAGGTCCAGCCTAGGCATGCTCGTTGGTTGATGGTTCAGTCTCTGTGAGCCCCCACGGGCCCAGGTAATCCAGGTTAGTTTACTTTGTAGGTCTTTCTGTGTTGTCCTTGACCCCTTTGGCTCCTTCTTTCCTTCCCTCCCACTCTTCCACAAGACTCCCTGAATTTGGCCTCTTACTTGGTTGTGGGTCTCTGTGTATTTCTATCAGCTGCTGGGTAAAGCCTCTCAGAAGAGAGTTATGCTAGGCTCTTGTCTGCAAGCATAGCAGAGTATCATTAATGGAAGCAGGGGTCGGCTCTCTCCCATGGGGAGGGTCTCAAGTTGGGCCAGTCATTGGCTGGTCATTTCCTTGATTTCTGCTCCATCTTTATCCCTGTACTACTTGTAGGCAGGACAAATTTGGGTTGATGTTTTTGTGGGTGGAAGGTGTCCTCCTCCCTCCAGTGGAAGTCCTGCCTGGCTACAGGAGGTGGCCTTTTCAGAGTCCATAAATTGGAAAGAAACTGTTCATAAAACAATGTATAGTAACCTGATTATCACTTTATATTTCTTTTACACAAGCTATTTGTTTAAAAGCTAACCCTCTGAATGGAAAGCCTGGTGGACTCACAATGTGCCCATTTACTTAGTGTTGATCACTAAGTCATTTCAGCTCTTCTTCGTAGTGTTGTTTTCTCATGAGGACATTACAGTTGATAGCAATCTGGCACACTGCTCTTCTTCTTCTTCTTCTTCTTCTTCTTCTTCTTCTTCTTCTTCTTCTTCTTCTTCTTCTTTCTTCTTCCTTCTTCCTTCTTCTTTCTTCTTTTCCTACTCCTTTTTTTCTTTTTCCTTTTTTTTATTAAAAATTTTATACAATATATTTTAAGCATGTTTCCTCTCCTCAGCTCTTTCCCACTTTCCTCCCACTAACTTCATGTATGCTCGCTTTCTCTGTTTGTCTGTCTCTCTGTTACTTATGCATACACACACAGACACACAATGAAAATCAAAACAAACAAAAAATCAGCTAGATCAACAAATTCCAAAAAAAGTGAAATAAAAGCCCTCCCAACAGATACACACACACACACACACGCACGCACGCACGCACAGTGGATTTTGTTTCGTGTTGACCAACTATTCCTGTGCATGGACCTGCGGTTGATATACCCAGTGTCAACTCCACTAGAGAAAACTGATTTGCTCTTTCCCAGTAGGTGTGGATTTTAAATAGCTTCTTTGTTAGGAGTGGGCCTTTGTGTCTGTTTCCCCTCCTTGGGGCTAGGGTTTTGTCTGGCTTGAACCTGTTCAGGTCTTGTTTGTGTTGCCACGATCTCTGAGTTAATATGTTTTCGGTTGTATCTGAAAGAGTGTTTCCTTGGAGCCGTCCACCAGCCCTGACTCTCACAGTGTTTCCATTTCCTCTTCTTCATAGACACCTGTAGATATCGACGTTTACCCCCACCATTCTTGAATTACTTCAAGGCCAACCTTCCTAGAGTCTCCTCCTTATCGTGATGTTTTGTCTGCAGTCTGTCTCTGACAGGGTGACTGAGCTTCCCTTAGCACATAGCCCTGGGTCTCCTTGTTGTTCATGCTCTCTTCACTAGAAAGGGCATACTGAAGCCAATATGCAGTTTCCCAAGTGCAGAAACAAACTACACATATACATATATAATGTCTATCCAGATAATTCTGACAGAAAATATTTCCTCTTCTACATCCATAGTACTTGAGCTGTGCAAATATTAGCTTGGGTGATTCACGGCCTTTTTTAGGAATGCATGTCTATCAGTGCTCCTCTGAACTATATAGAGCTGTATTTATTCATATTTGGTAGTAGAAGTTGAATTCAGGGCCTGTACATGCTAAGCAAGTATTCTGCCAGTTATCTAACTAATCTCCAATTTGTTTGTTTATTTATTTATTTGTTTTTTTGTACAGGATTTCACTTTATAGCACAGATTGCCCTGGGTCTCACGAATCTTTTTGTCTCAAGGCTTCCCAAGTGCTTAGATTATAAGTATTGACCATTGCGTTTGGTTATTAGGGAAAACTTAGAAGGAAATTAGTTAACAATATGCAGAATGATTTATATCTTCCTGAGTTATATAACATTCTAGTAGTAATAAATCCTTTTAAAAATGTATTTTAATCCTGAGTGTCACACATATATATTATACATCTTGAGCACATCACTCCCTATTTCCTTCTTTCCTGTCTCCTACACTCTGTACCCTATTTCCTTCAGCAACAAATCCCCCTCCTTCTCTTATGTTTTTTGTTGTTGTTGTTGTTTGTTTGTTTGTTTGTTTTAATTACCATTGGGTTTGATGGAGTTTGCTACTATGAATACAAGTATGTCTTTCCCAGCCCTCTGGCTTTCAGATTCTTTTTTCTCCCTCTTTCATGATGTTCCCCCAGTGTATGGTGTGTGTGTATGTGTGTGTGTGTGTGTGTGTGTGTGTGTGTGTGTGTGCATTCGAGTGTGCCTGTGTGTGTATACATGTGTGTGTGCACATGCATGTGTATGTGCACGCGCATGTATGTGCGTGCGTGTGCGTGCGTGTGTGTGTGTGTGTGTGTGTGTGTGTGTGTATGTGTGTGTGCGCGCGCGCTTGTGTGTCATGTTGGGGGATGTTATGTGGTTGTCCCTTTTAGGACTAAGCGTAAAATAGTCATTCTCAGCACTTTGGTCAGTTAGGACTCTCTGGACTAACTGCTACCCACTACAGAATGAAGCTTTCTAGTAGGCCACATACTGGTCAGATTTCCAAGCACTTTTTGGATAACTTAGGTCCCCACTTTCTTTCTCTTGCTTTTGTAGAAGCTTGTGATCATTGTAACTTAACCTGTTGGCACATCTTTCTAACTCCATTAGGATGTTGTGGCTGGTTAAAAGAGTTTAAAACTTTACTGTGACTTTCTTAGATTATTAAAATGTAAATAGGGAAAGCTAAAATTACAAGTCTGTGAAGTGGTGCTTTCACACCTAGAACTCTTTACCTACATCTTGAGCTGCTAACATAGTGGGTCAGTTTGTAGAATTTTCTTTCCTTTATTGCTGAATTTCCTTTCCTTTTGTATGAGATATTGCCATATTATGTGTCCAAATATCTGCATGTGTTGGGAAAGGGAGAAGAAACTGTTGCAAGGTCTTTCTAGGAGTATATATTTTCCTTCTGATAGCTAATATTCAGGTCACTGTCTCCTTTCTATTCAGCCCAGGACTCCAGACCATGGAAGAGTGCTGCCTGCATTTAGGATGGGCCTTTCTCCTTCAGTTAGCTTCACAATAACCCTCATAGCCATGCCCAGAGACATGTCTCCTTGGTGACTCAAAATATCAACATAATACTGATCAAAATAGTAATCAGTGTTAAGCATCACTCTGGGGCAGGGATATGGGGCAGCTGATGGATGGTACACAGTTCATGAGGCGAAAACATACCAGCTTCCATGATGTATGTTAAAGGTATACTCGTGGACAATGTAGTATTAGTCCTTCTCTAATGAACTAGTATTATAGTCTGCAGGAGAAGACAAATAAGGAAAAGGCTATATTATAAAGGAAGCCTTCAGACTAGAAAGGGTGGATTGTTGCTAGAGCACATTGGAAAGGCATTGGCTTAACATTTGGTAATTCAAGGAAGTCTTCCCCAAAAGAGCAGTTTTAAGACCACGTCTGAAGGATAAGTGAGACTAATCAGAGGATTCTATTTAATGGCATCCCCAGACAAGAAGGCAGTGTGTCCAAAAGCTCAAATATGAGCATACATGGAGAAACAAACTCCACAATTAGTAAATGGAGTGTGTTGGGCAGGAGAGGTATGAGGGGTGACTTTGGAGGACTAAGATGGTGATAAATTTTATAATAGTGGAATTGAATTTGCATTTTATCATGAAAAGAATGATGAGGCTGACATTTTAACAGAAGCATACATTTCCCTATCAGCTTTGGATAGCTGGTCCTACAACCACAATGTGGAATGGACCAGAAAAGAGGTCTTTGTATGTTTTTCCAGGAAGAATGTACTAGCAATGGAGGGATGATAAATGAGAGAGATGTAGAACATCATCTTAAACTTGCTTGATGGTTTTTCTTGTGGAAGGCGGGACTAATGTTCATGATGACTGCCAACTCTTTGACCAACAGCTGACTGGTTGTGGTGATCAGGACACACTGAGAGAGCTAGCGGGCCCCAGAGGGTGCACATAGTCTTGAACACACTTTCTGGTATAATGTTGACTTAAGTGTTATGGCTATTGGAATTGTGAGCTTGAATTTCATGAAGGAATATGGAGTGATAATTTGAAATTGATTGATTGGTGTCAGGTACACCGAGTGAAATTTCTTGGTGATGTATAGATCTTGGAAGTATGTAATATCTCAGCCACATACAAATGTACATTTTTTATTAGTAAGTTTTAAAAATGTATTAGGATGTAGACTCATGACTTTATCCTATATTCTCTTTTCAATATCAGTTTTATTTTGAGTCCCTAATCATCAAAAGCATGTAAATCCACCCTGCAATGTGTTCTTATTTGTCATCTGTGTGATTAGTCACTCTCAGTGCAGGTGTTTAATGATATTAAAGTTCTGTCCTTAAAGGATATGAGCTATGATTGGCTTTTTTTGTCTGCAAATTAGCATAAATTATTTGTTCTCAATGTAGTGTTTCCTTTCTCCAGCTTTTGATTGGCTTTGAATCTGGAACAGTAGTTTTATGGGACCTCAAGTCAAAGAAGGCTGACTACAGATACACATATGATGAGGTAATGGCAGTGTTTATTCTCATTAAAGATCATTCATTGTTATAATTCACAGCATCTTTTCTAAGAATTGAATTTTCAGTTCTAGCTTATATTTGATTTTAGGTTAGTCACAGGAGTTTTCTAATTGTATTAAAACACCAAGTTTCTTCCATTAGTAATGTGTTCACCATCACTTTCATCTCCGTCTGGGGGGTTAGCCGCATAGTGCTTGTTGCTGCCATCCGTCACTGACCTGCTGAGTCATGAAGCTCTGGGAAGAGTCGTCACACAGTGCAGATCTGCACGCAGGCCTACAGCACAACTTGGCAGCTTCAGGGAAGATTGTGTTCTCTAGTGTTTCTCAGGGTTAGAGTCAGGCCACACTTCTCACACCTGCTTCTCAAAGTAATAGATGTAGTTTCTCCTACTTATTAAAAAAGGTCACATTTTGTAGAAATAATTTCACTTATAGTATAGAAAAAGGGATGGCTCATTTTAAGATTGAGGTTTTAGAGTGCCTTAACTTTATTTTGGACCAAAATCTTTGAATCAGAAATGTGTTAACTTTTGGCCTTTACAGTCTCTGCTCATCATCATGTAAATGTTTTCATCTGTATTAAAACACTGTATAATTTTAGCTTAAGTTTACAAGCACATAGAGAATGCAGTTATTGAATTAATGAAAGTGTTGACTATGTATGTATAATAGAACTTTTTTTGTTTTAACTTTCAGTTGAATACTTTCATGCTGTACTATGCAATTCTGGTAGTTCAGCAGGGTACCTTTTAAAGCCAGTTAACCATTAAGACTGAAAAATACATCACCATGATTTCAAAATAAGAAATTCAAAGCAAACCTCAGAATTGATTTTTTAAATAAGATTTTATAGAGAAAAGTCATAATTTAGAGAAAAAAAAATGGACCATGATCACATAAAGTACTTTCTAAACAGTGGAGTAGAAAGTGGAAGTATAATATTCTAATAAATAAACCATCTTTTCATTGTTCTGAAGAGATGGCCCAGCAGGTAAGGGTCTTCTTGAGGGACTAGTCAGATGGTTAAGAGTACTAGGTGGAACCAGGCATGGTGGCTTATACCTTTAGTTGCAGCATTCAGGGAGGCAAAGGCAGACTTATGACTATGAGTGCAAGGCCAGCCTGGTTTACAAAACGAGTCACACAGAGAAACCCTGTCTCAAAGAAAGAAAAGAGGGAAGGGGGAAGGGAGGGAGGAAGGGAGGGAGGGAGGGAAGGAAGGAAGCAAGGAAGCAAGGAAGGAAAAAGAAAAAAAGAGCAGTAGGTATTTTTCAGAGGACCCAGCTTTGATTTCCAGTGTCCACATTGTATGTTACAACTGTTTGTAACTCCCATTTCCAGAGGATTCAGTGTCCTCTTCTGCCCTCTCTCTGTATGCACTAGGAACACACTTGATTCACAGACATTCATTCAGACAAAACACTGATACATGTGAAGTAAAATAATTAAAAGGAAAGAGAGTGGTCTGCTTAGATTAAAAGTCACCTCTATAGTTATTCTGAGGTGCTGAAAATATGCTTTGCTGTTCATCCTGAGGAATTTTCATTGATTTTATTCCTAAATATATATTTTGAATTTAGGATAAATTTTTTTTAGCTCATTAAAAAATTCAAATCTCTCAAAGTGACTTATTTGTTCAATCAGCCATTATTTGTTGTAACTTCATAATTTATGCTTTGGTAGGGCTTATTTTGATAAGCTCTAAAATATTATTTTCCTGAACTTGTCAATAAATAGTGTGTATATCATTATCATAGCTTCTTATTGCACGCTTAAGAGATACAATGATTAGGAGGAATTAAACAGTTTCAATATGAAATTTCCTAATTATATTGTAAGAGCATTAAGTTATTTTGAAAATGTAGTTGCTATATTGACCAGCTTGGAAACTGTAAAACTTTATGAAGATTACCACACCTGTTTTCTCTAGATTGATAATAGAATTCTTCATTCTTCTGTAGGCTATTCACTCTGTGGCTTGGCATCATGAAGGAAAGCAGTTTATTTGCAGTCATTCTGACGGGACTTTGACCATATGGAATGTGAGGTCCTCTGCTAAACCAGTACAGACCATCACTCCCCATGGTAGGGTGCCTCCATTTTAAAGACCACTCCAATTGTAATGGACTGTAATCTGGTTTTGGGGTTTGTTTTGATGAGTGAAGAATATTTTTATTGTTTCATGAGTGAATATTGTAGTATCTTCTGAATATCATTTCTTCATTTGTCCTAAAGGCAGATTGTGTTGTGAATTGTAAGAGATTTTAAAGTTTTCTCACCTTAGAATTGTCACAAGCTGCTAAAGTATATGTAACAATTAGGTGAAACATCAAGACCTCAACTGGAGGTAATTCTATACATTGAAGCACAGTGTCTGAGCACGCAAGGTCATGTACAGTTTGCTGAGTCACTGGGAAGAGCCACGGGACTCAGCCATAGTGTTTGCACAGAAAAGAATGTGAAGCAGATTACAGAAGGGGGAAAGGCACATTGGATGAAGCTGAGGCAGTCAGTCTTGTTCCAAGAGCCCTTTGGCAGTGAATCAGGCCAGGCAGCCTTTATTGCTCTACCAATGAGCCATTACTGCAGGTGTAAGCATTGCCTGTCAAAGAGGCTTATCAGGCCTAGGAGTCCAAAGTCCAAGATCTTTGTGGTGACTGCAGGGGCCATTTATGTAGGCGCTCTCTGTCTTAGTTTAACTCCAGGACTCTTGGATGGAAAACAGCATGATTATATTCATTGTTCAGACAGTCTAGATACAGCGGGCCCACAGTCAGGACACAGTGAGAGCTCCTATGGAAGGTGGGTTCCCACACACCAGCCAGAAGCTGGTTTGCAAGCTGATTTTTCTAAGGATAGCAGACTCGGGCTACAGTGTTAACTCTTTTCTCAACAAGTGATCTTTACAAACTGTAAGAAGTTGCCATAAGCAGACTGAAAATGCTTTCTTTTTGTTTTGTAATCTATATCTTCTTACTTATTAATCTGCCTTTTCTACCACAAACTTAAGAGAACCTTCATATCAAGTTTAGAGAAATCATAGTAAGGATTTGTTCCATAATTATATCCCACTTTTGAAGTTATAGATCCTGAAGTATTACATCATAGAAATTAAAGAAACAGAAAATTGAAATCAGTTAGGAGTGTGTTGTCACACACCTCTTCTTATAGCACTCAAGAAGTTGATGCAGGCAATCATTAGTATATATGTACTCCTTGATATGTACATGGGGCACATATCAATACCCTGTCTCAAGCAAAGGAATGAGCAGCATAGAAAACTCAGGGTTTTACTCTCTGTGGCAGTTTCCTGGAAACTCACAGTCCTTGACAGCATACCCATGGAGTATACTCTGCTTTGTGATGGCAGTCACCTTGTGAGCAAGTGCAGAATTTAAATTTGATGCTGGTCTCTGTGGGGGCTATTGCTTAGTTTTTAATTTTCTTCTTGGATTTTTGTTCTTTGTATTAGTGCCTGGGTCTTTAGTATTTTGGGCACTCAGGAAAATTTCCATACATCTTAGAATCTCCCAACCCCCTACAAGCTATGCCTCCAGAAAACGAAGTGTGTGGCAGCACTGGCCATGAGCCTCTCGTTTTCTCAGGTGCATGAGAAAATGCAAGCCCACACTTCATCTCAACCAAAGGTGGCACATGCATATAAGCCTTGGTCTCATCTTGGTATCTGTCTGTTGAGATTTTCCTGACAGGGCCTAATAAAGCCCAGCTTGTCCTCTAAGTCTATGTGTAGCTAAGGATAACCTTGACCTCCTGCACCCTCTTCTCAACAGCTGGATTTCCAGGTGTTGGGGAGTTTTTTTCCTAGCATGAGATCCTCTCTTTGATACCTAGTACCTGAAAAAGAAAAAGGAGAAGGGTAGGGGGAGGGACAGTTACCAAGGGTATTGTTGCAGTTTTGCTGTCTGAGGATCAATTCGAGGCATGATACCCAGTCATCTTCAGTGTTCCATTGTTTACTTTGTTAGTAACAAGCACATATTTCTGATCTCAATAGCAAATGAATTAGATTTGGGAGTTAATATCCATCCAGTGCTTTAAACTGGGCAGTTCTTGAGCCCTTTCTTAATTTAGATACCTGGTAAATTATGAGAGTTACTGGTCAGTTATTTGTAGACAGTGTTTCTTCATGATTTGCATACAGGTTGTACTGTTCAGCTATCATGTCCTAAACAGCTGATAGGATTTTTTTTTTTTTCCTTCTCAAGTGGGCTTTAATTCTGCATTTGTCCCATGTTGCTAATATCCATGCATGACCATTTGGTTAAGGATTTTTGTGCCGTGTCTGTACTTGCCCACTTTGAAATCAATAGCCTTTTCTGTTTATAGTTAATGTTGTAATTACTTTAATTTCAGGGACTACATTCCATTCTTTCTCTCTGGTTTTCACTTCTATTGATGTTTCTTGGGTGGATTAGAGTCATAATGTTGCCAAATGATTTTTTTTAATTTAACCTTGATTTTTTTTTAATATAAGAAAAGTAGCATAGATCAGTTTCTGCATTGTTTATAGTCTCTTGGCAGAAAAGAGTCACTAACAGAAGTTGTTGTTAACACAGTTAAGCAAAGAATACCTGTACATTTTTTCGAAATTAAAGGTAAACAATGTAAATGAAGTGCATTATTTTCTTGTACATATGAAGAAATAGCTTTCCTTACACAGTACAGCAAACTAAATGTAGATGGTACTAGTGTAGTGCATGTTTAATTTTATTTCTATAAAATATTTTATATATAACTAAATTTTACAGGAAGTGAATTACTTTCATGAGTTTTCCACTTACTACTTAGCTTGCCACTGGCAGTGATAAACTACCAATACTAAATTAATGTTACCAGCAGAGTTCTTGAGTCCACTCCATTACATTACAATGCGAAAATTTGTCTAGCATATCAAAACAAGATACCATTTATTCTGTATATAGTATATTTGTGGCACATAATTTTGAGCATATCAACGAGTCATTCTGATAAAATAAAATTTATTTCTTCTCTCATACTATAAGTTCTTGCTTTTAATTCTTAGCCTAATGAGTGTCAAGTTACTTTAAACATACTTTACATTTTTGTACATTATTAATTTTGGTGATCTTTGATTAGTTTAGATGGTGTTAGCCACCTGTATAGTGTAGATAGTGCTTTGGGATGGTATTTAGTGTTAGTAAGTTTCATGTTAAAATGGGTATTGATGTATTCTGTTTCCTTCTGTTGCTGAAGATTGAACCCGGGTCACTGTGCATGTTAGGCAGGCACGCTGCAGTCATGCGTGTTAGGCAGGCACGCTGCAGTCATGCGTATTAGGCAGGCTGCAGTCATGTGTGTTGGGCAGGCACGCTGCAGTCATGCGTGTTAGGCAGGCACGCTGCAGTCATACGTGTTAGGCAGGCTGCAGTCATGTGTGTTAGGCAGGCACGCTGCAGTCATGCGTGTTAGGCAGGCTGCAGTCATGCGTGTTAGGCACGCTGCAGTCATGTGTGTTAGGCAGGCTGCAGTCATGCGTGTTAGGCAGGCTGCAGTCATGCGTGTTAGGCAGGCACGCTGCAGTCATGCATGTTAGGCACGCTGCAGTCCTGTGTGTTAGGCAGGCACGCTGCCAACTGAGCCGTTTTTCCAGCCCTGAGCTTTATACTTTCTTTAAAGATGTGTTCAGAAGATGTAGCAAGACATCAGCCTAATGTGGGATTTTAAAGCAGGAAGTCTGTGACCTTTGGGGAGCCAGTTAGCATTTTTGAATCTCATTATTATCTATAACTAGAAATGATGATGAAGCTTAATCCAGTTTTCTCCTGCCGTTCTAAGAATTGTGTTTATCCAACAAATATTTATTGGCTCTACTATATGATCATAAACTATATAACTGAAAGTATCTGGACATTATCATGTGCTGTGTGCATATGTGATTCTAGTAAATAGGGATTTGGGAATTGTATTTACTCAGTGGACTAAGTTAATGTTCTCACAAAGTATATTTTTGTTTTCTACACACACCTGTTTGTTTGCTTGTTTGGGGAGATAAGTTGTTTGATACAAGAAGTGTAACAGAGTCAAAGACGTTTTGGGCTGAATTAAGGTTGAAATTTTTCTTCCTGGTATGACATAACAGATGGGTTTTGATTGCCTCAAACAAGCTAACGTGGTGTCTCTTTTTATTGTAGTCCTTATGAATATCAAAGCCATTTCCATGGCAACCAGACAACCTTGAGTCTTTTTCCAGATCTGATATACAAAGGCTTTGTAAAGGGACTGTTAAGGTGGCTCGGTGGTAAAGCCTCTAAAACCCTTGTAAAAGGCCAGGTTCATAATGTCAACCATCTGTAAACTCAGCACTCCTGAGGCAGAGGCAGGACAGACCTTGAGCACTGTGGCTGCCTACACTAGCCTAAATCAGCAGGCTCTGAGTTCACCTTAATTTAAAAAGTGGATGACATTAAGGAAGACACCTGACATCAAATTTGAGACTCTGTCTATGTATATGCATACACATGTACCCATATAGGTATGAACATGAATACATACATACTACATTCATATAGTGTGTGTACACACACACATACCTTATGAAGATAATTTTTATTATCTCAGACTTTAGCAGTTGTAAAATGGCAGAAATGAATAAGATGAGTTATCAAGTGTGTATCAACATGTAGAAATTAAGCAGAATTTTACTTCACAAATTTACTTTGCGAAGTCATTTGTCTGAGAAAATGTTTTGTGTGGCAAACTAAGCTAAGCCCTGCTGCTCCTTTTTGGTTTGCTTTTCTGCTGTGACAGAAGAGCTTTTATTTGGAAGAGAATTTTTGATAGTTCTGCCATGACTGTTCTTATCCTGAAGCCATCATCTTGCTTAAGTGATTTGCTGGGTCAGGACTCCCACATAGCCTGCATTGTAGCCTTGGGCTGGGGTGACATACCATTGGATGAAAATTTTTGTAATTGTCAGATTCACCAGAATCAGTCGATTCCCAGAGGAAATAGAGATGCCAGACAGTCACAATCAATAGATGTCCTCAGTAGGAAATGATGTTTTAATTTTCTAGATGTTTTAAGTTTCTAGAGTATATTCATCAGTGCTGTTAATAGTTTTATCAATAGTACATGAAGGGGAGTTTTTATTCTAGTAAGGGTCATTGTATTAAAACTAAAATTAAGGTTCACATACCTGAAAGTCAGTATTAAGGATTAAACATAGAAAGAATTCTTTTTATCTACATTTAATTTATAATAAGCCTAAAAATAAAACCATACTTAGTTATATAAAGTCTCCTTTAATTTTTATAATTGAAAGGACTTAGCAGACTCTAGAACATGTCCAAATAAGACTGTATGTAAATTTAAAGTATCAAAAGGGACATGAACAAGCACTTAGATGAATTTGAAGCGTCCTGTATGCCAGCTGCCAAGGACAGGGGTGGTGCTACATTTCCAGCTGCAGCTATCACATCTGGCTTTTGAGCTCAAACTGAAACTCTCAGGGAGTCTCCTGGAATGGTCAGGCCACTGATACCTGGAAGTGCTTAGAGCTTTCCCAGGGGAATTTGAACTTTCAACATTGCATTTTACATTGTATTTCTTGTCTTAGCAGAGAGTCAAACTCCGGATAACCACCTTCTTTAAGTGAACTTCATTTCTGCACTAAGTAAGCATGGTGAATTCTCCCAGCCAGTTATTTCAAAATTGCATTACTAGCATTGGTGTTCTGTTTTTCCAGTTGGTCAATTAATTTTTTAGAAAATCACTTTGTAATTGGAATATAATTATAGCTGTCTAGGTAAGTTAAGTTTTACAAACAGCAGTATTAAAATCAGTAAATAAACCAGACAAGACTAATTTAATAATAAATTTCATAAATTATTTATAAGCTGATAACTACAAACATTTTGACAGCTGTTGCTAAAAGCATATGTACATGCTATGGTTTTGACAGAAGATAAATAGGAATTGTTCACAAATCAGAACATCTAAGCTCAGTCTTAAAGGAGAAGTTTGTTATGAAGTGGAAAACAGCAGGGCAAGATCATTTTAGTGCGAATGTATAAAGGAACAAAAGCATAAAAAGCAGGCCATTATTGGAAATCAATAGTAGTATAGCTTGGGTGGAATTCTGACAAGTAGCAGAAAATGAAAACAGAGCCATGTATGATGAATAATATACATGAGAATATTCTAAAAGGTTTGAGACCTTATGCCATGACTTAATATGTGACTTTTGAATGATACACATACAATTGACATCTTAAAAACATGACTTTAATGGTAATCCATCAGGGTGTCTTGACAGACTGTCAGTTAGTAAGCAGTTGTATTAAGAGTAAATAAAGGTAGTTTGAATATTGGTGGGGAAGATGGATATACATGATGAAATTGTGGAATCAATGCCAGCGGGTCTTAGACCAGTTCATTGTAGCTGGGTGACCAAAAAAGTTAAGGAAATGTAATGTTCTAAAAGAAAAGGAAGAAAATGTGATTTATCAAATTGGGTTTTCTAAGTAGTCAGATATTTTCAGTTTGTCAGGGAATCAGTTTCCAGAGAATTAAGTAAAATAATAGCTAGTTGTGGAATTTGGTGAGTCACTGCATGTTCTTTAATTTATATTCACTGAATAAAATCAGAGCAAGGGCCTTTTTTATTTGATTTAGGAATTGGTTGCTTTAGAGTTGGAGGTAAATGATTTGCTTAAATTAAGCCAGTGACATCATTTAAAATACTCAAGTTGGGAAAACATTAAAATGTGCATGACAAATGATTTGTGCATGGAGTAAACTTAACTTAGAAATGAATCAAAATTTGTAGGACTCAATGCTAAAACACAATTGAAGTATGTTCAAAAGACAATTGAGAGGGAAAAAAAGAGATAAAAGAGTCTTTCTCTAGCCAGTTTTAATGAAGATATGCAAGCCTAGTTTTCAGAAAAGCTCAAAGCTCAGTAAATGCAATAATGGCCTCTAAATGTTGTAAGCTGTGAGGGACTGGAAAGCCCACTCAGTGAAAAACACTTGGCACTCAGAGGACCCAGGTTTAGTTCCCAGCACCCATGTCAAGCAGGCCACAAACACCATGACTCCAGCTCCAGGGGAACTGACACCCTCTTCTGACCTCCACAGAGGCCTGCCATGATGCTGCTGCGGTTCTTCCTTGTACACGTTCCCTTTGAATCAGTCCAAGCTGAAGAGTTTTATTTATTTCTGTTTCTAATAAATATTCCTCAACTGTTTTCCAGAAAGATTATCCTTCATAAGTGAACAGAGAAGCCATCTGAACCTGGACTTTTCTTTATTAGTGATTTTATTTGTTTATTTATTTTGAGAGGTTCTGAGGTTTGAACCCAGAATGTTGTACTTGCCTCTGAGCTAAGTGCTAAGACTCAGTTTCTGCTTTTTAATTTTTAGATCTCTTTATTTGTTCTAGAATCTAGATTGTTTCTTCTTGAGTTAGTTTCAGTACTTAGCTTCCTAGGACATTTACATTTTTATTTTTAAGTGTGTGTGTGTGTGTGTGTGTGTGTGTGTGTGTGTGTGTGTGTGTGTTTGCATATGAAATGCAGTGCATGCAGAGGTCAGAGAGGACCCTCTAAGGCTGGAGTTGCAGCTCAACATGAGTGGTGGAAGCCGAGTTCAAATCCTTTGCAAGAATAGTGCATGTTCTTCACCTCTGAGCTAGCGCTCCAGCTGTGCTATTTTGTAACTCTCTCTTTCCCTGGTTTGATCTTCGCCCCTTTCTTAGTTTGGCTAATGGCCAGTTTTGTTGTTTCATATCAAAATGTCATGTGGATTTCTTTAATTCTGGTTATTTACTAATGTGTTCCTTAATCTTTAGTATTTCCATCATTTTTTTTCTTGCTTCTGATTTTTAACTTCATTGGTTAGATATTTTATCTTTATCCTTTAAAGGATATTTATTCTTTAATATTATTAAGATTTCTTTTTTAGCCTAATGAGATCTGCTTTGAAAATGTTTTATATGTGCTTGAGAAGAATATATATTCTGTTTTGTTAGGAGTGTTAGAAGCTTCTGTTGTTTTGTTGGTTTTCAGTTCACTTATCCACAAGACTTTCTATCTCTAGAAATTGAGGTATTGAAGTCCTTAATTATTATTATTGAACTGTCTGGTATTTTTTGCCTTCTTTGGTTCAACTTTTGTTCCATACATTTTAGTGCCCTGGTAGTTAAGTATATGTTATTTGTAAGTCTCCCTGATGTATTGGCCCTCAGCAGGATAATCTGTTAGACTGCTGATAGAAGCATATTAGGTCACAGATCATTGGAAAACCATGTAAGCCAAATGTCCTTTACCTCAGAAGTTATCCAAAAGAAGTAGCCAGGACTCATTTGTTAAGCATTTACTGGGGACCCAGTATATGCCAGACAGTGTTTGAATGGGAAATATTTTTAAGTGTGTACAGATACACACACAGACACATACACACAGTTTCTGAACTGCATGAATGAGTGAGCGTGAAGGATAGAATGTGGTAGGGGATATGGCACAAAGCTCAAGTTGTGAAAGAGGACATAGAGTGCTTGGGATGGGAGTTTAGGGTCCTTCGGTCCATTTCCAATTTCTATGATTTGCCAGAAGAAATGTAATGATGTGAGAAAATTAACCTTTCTTATTTAAAAAAAAAAAAAAAGATATGTTTTCTTTTCTTTTTCTTTGACTTTCATGTTTCTGTCGTGAACCTCCAAAAGTCAATAGCAAATAATATTTTTTAAATAACGAAAACTGTTTATATCAATTTTTGATTTATAATCATTTTGTTATAATAAGTACTTGGGATTTCCTTAAAATGTCAATTAATTTATTAACAATTTAATTTTGCAGCCTGTGGTACTTGGGTAAAAATGTGATAGAAATTTATTTTTTTGAAATTGTACTCTTTTAAGATGTTTATTCACTAAGCAAGTTGAATTGCTACTTTGCTTATCTAGTAAGAACAGTTCACATTTGGGAGGACTACCAGTTTCTCTTGCTAGGATTTAATCACATAAATGTTAGGTTATTCAGTTTATTTGCTTTTTTTGTCAGTATTTCACATAATAATTTAATTCATCATTACAAAATGCCTTATTTTGTGGTAAATATTTTTAAATTTTGTTTTAAACATTCCTTGGTGGGTTTTATATTTTATCTTCATCTTAATAATTATGCATATGTAAAATTAATTATTACTTTGCCTAATGGTGTGTATCCTTATATTTTATTTTCACTGTATAAATTATCAGTGTATGAACTTAGGGTAATATAGAATTTAATGCAGGATAATATATTGTAGGAAAACAGTTAAAGGATGGGAAGAAACCAGAGCCATGCAAGCCTATCCTCAAGGTGGAGTTCAAAACAACTAGATCTGGGTAAGATTTCTTCATTGCCATGTTCATTGTTTCAGGGTGATGCAAGAAGCACTGGAAGCTAACACAGTTAAATTGGAAGCACTGCTGCAGAATATTCTAGCCAGATCTTAACTTTTATGCTTTCATCAGTTAATAAAATGCAGTTAGGATAAACTCCCCATGGTTCTTCTGATTATAGCATTTTATTTCTCCATGTCAGAAAGTATTTTTTTCATGCCAAACATAATATATATTATGTTGTTCCTTGGAAACAGTAATATTTATTTGCTTTTGTGAAAAGTGTGGAAAAAGTGATGAAGGGAAATGATTAAACTATATTCTATCCTATGTATGTTAACTAAGAGTCATATATTCAGAAATTAAATTTCATAAGAATGTTTGACAATTATAGAGAATAATTCAACTTACTAGGTAAAAAAGTTTGTTAATTATATTCCAGCACTGGTACTCATATGAAATAGGTGCAAGAATTAGCTGGTTCCCACTTTATAAATGCCTTGAGTTTATGTGTGAAATGCTGTATTTAATGTATAAATCTAATATGTATATTTATATATGTAGATTTATAACACTTTTAAAGTATTTTTTTATTTCTGCATGTCTTTTTCTTCCAAAGGTATTTTTATTTCCATCCTAGTTATTGTTAGGTGTCTTTATTCAAGGTAGCTAAAGAGAGCGGATGTGTCTTGGATAGTACAGTTCTCAGATCAGGGCTCTGATAGGATAAACAACAGGCTTGGCTGAGGACTTGTTCCTCCATCCATTCATGTACTGAGTCAGAAACTGTTCAGTGAGGGCCAGAAGTCAGTTTTGATGTAATCTGCAGGAAACCCTGATGCCACTGGTTCATTTACACATTCCAGTTTATAAACATGGGTGTTTGAACTGCCTTCTGCTCTGTGACCTCTTTTGAGAAAAGGCCATGGACATTAAAAAGGAAAAGAAAAGAAAAAGATAGATTGCTCTTAGTTATTTCTTCCTCATTCCTAGCCTTCCCAGTAGGAATACTCTATTAGAATTGATTCAGAGCTGATAGACTAGGATCAGAAGGAAGGAGAGGAGGACCTCCCCTATCAGTAGGCTTAGGGAGGGACATGGGTAGAGAAGGGGAAAAGAGGGTGGGATTAAGAGGGGAGAGGCTAGGGAGCTACAGGGTGGATACAAAGTAAATAAACTGTAATTAATAAAAAATATTTTCAAAAAGTTTAAAAAATGAAAAAAAAAATTGATTCAGAGACAGATAATTGGTTCAAGTCCAAGAAGCAGAGTATCTGTTTAGTTGACCTTGGAAGTCCTCACTGTATGATAGTTGGCAACAGAATTATTTGCTTTCTTTGTGCTTAGATGTCATTTTTACATACATGTACAATGGGTGCGATGACTTTAGTGCATTGCTCACGTATGCACTCAATTCACACATTACCTTATTAATAAACTACAAGTGGGTAAGAAACCGTTTTGCATTAGGAAGCCCTCAGCCACCAATTAATTATTATTTGTTATATTACCCTATTACAAAATAATTACAATAGGAAAAAAAAAGAATAACAGAAGTTACAAAAGAAGACAAGCCAGAAAAAAAGTCTGTGTGCATATGCATCTTTGGGTGAGTTCTTTAAACAGTGTAAACAAAGGGGAAGCCAAGGTCACTGTCTTCTTCACTCCTGATACTTCTCTCAGGGCAGAGCTTCTGCTGCAGGCCTGTTTACTCAGTGTGGCAGCACTGATTTCATGTTACAGATTTGAAACTTTAAGATGTTGTATCACTTTGGCAGGCTTTTGTATGAACTATCTGATGTGATCAGTAGACCAACTTTTAATTGTACCTCAAACTTCTTCCTTCTTCCCTCCTACCTTCCCTCCCTCCCTCCCTCCTTCTTTCCCTCCCTCCCTCCCCTGGAATAGGGAATTCAACAAATTAAATAAGACTTCATTTTTCTTTGCTCCATAGCTTTCTTCTTTGATTAGGTCTAAGTACCCCTGCCCACCTGCTGTTTCATGTTTTATTGGCAACTTATGAGATCTTAGAGAGGAACTGCCATCACGCAGGCAGGAGTCTTGTATATTTTCTTCTCTTTGCCTGGAAGTCATTGTCGGAGTAAAGACCCTTGTCTTTTCCCTCTAGGTCAGCATAAATGTTTCTTCCTTTGGAATATTAGTGTCCTCAGTGAGCTTTGATTCTCCAAAAACATGCTCTTGAGAGAAGCAGTTTTCTGTTATAAGACTTATAAATGCAATTATATTTATTGACACATATATGCTTTTCAGTTAAACTTGATGAAAGCATGAGGTGTGAAATGCAGCTGTCACACATTAAAGTCCTATGTACCCTACACCCTGGTGTCAGGGGTGGAATCTAGGGCCTTATGCATACTATGTTCTAGCAGCTGAGCTACAGCCCCAGTTCTGTTTGTCCAGATCCTAGCTAATGTTCTGAATGTGAGGAGTATAAATATGGGTAAAATCAGGTAGGGGTAGGTATATACAGGTATGGGTAACTATATTCAGGTACAGGTATGGGTATACAGGTATGGGTAATTATATTCAGGTACGGGTATGGGTATACAGGTATGGGTAGGTATAGATAAAGTATAGTTCTATGTGGACTCTTGAAGATCTGGAAAGCATAGAGTCTTTTAGTGGAATGAAGTTAGTGACAGTGCAAATAAAGAAATAATTTATTTCACTAGTAGTTTATTTAAAATATGCTATGAATTCATTAAACAGTCAGTAGTAAAAGCAAGAAGTAGGAGCTAGAAGGATGGCTTAGCAGCTGAGACCACCTTCAGGCCTTCCATAGGATTTTGGTTCAGCTCCCAGCACTCGTGTGTGTTAGATGTTGGCTCATAACCTCCTGTAATTCCAGCTCCAGGGGGCCTAAAATCATCTTTTGGCCTCAGGGACATTGCACATGTGTGGCACACTTTCACACATACACAGACACAAAGATCCCTTTTCCTTTTTAATCTTAAAAAGCCAGGAGTTAAATGCTGTCAGATCTGCTGAAGGTCCTTTGAGAAAAAGAAGAGGAGGAGAGTTCTGTGGTGACTACCCGTCCACCATCAGAGGTTACAAAGTGTGTAAAGCAGAGCGTCGGGTCCACATCCTTGCTCGGGTGTTCTCAGTGTCATTCAGGGTACAGCCAAGCTTTCTGTGCCCACTTCATCATCTTGAAGAGATAGGAACCATAATAGGAGCTACTTCATAAACTTGTTAGAAAGCATATATGAGAATGTTACATGTTCTTCCCACAGCTGCTGCACACACCCGTCTTCAAGCAACATTTGATGACTTCTGACAGGCATCCAAACTGCAGCGCTTCCTTTATTTTGTTTTCCCCAAAATAGAAGAACAAGTGGCAAGCCTCACTGATTTTATAACTCAAGAACCTATTATTTTTGTCCCTAAATTGAAAATCACCTCTGCTGAGAAACACTATGATTTGCTGCAATGATTAAAGACTATTTTTAGACATCAGATAACACAGTCATTTATAGGCTGTGAAAATAATTGTGTTGGTTGTGAGCATTAGCTTTTAATTGGTAAAGTAGGATAGGACATAGCTGAGCACACTGCACATTTAAGGGTCAGCAGCATGGGTTCGCAGTACTTGGCTCACTTCCAACGCTTATGTGCTGAGTCATGAAGAAAGCTCCACATATTAGTGGGCTCATGATAAGGAGATAGCAAACTTGTGAATTAGTATAAGGCAGAGATAGCAAACCTGTGAATTAGTATAAGGCATTGAAGCCTTCAATTGCCACTTTGCTTAAGTCCTGCTACTCTGCTTATGTGTTAGGATGCTTTCTGCTTACAGGGTGATGTCATCAGCTGTCGGCTGGCTTCTATTAATTACTAATTTCGGGGGAGGGGGTCTGCAAGCTTATTTTCTGATACATCGCTAGAAAACTGTCTTCTAGATTGATAGCTCTGGGTTTGGTGTTTTTGTTTTTGTTTTTTTGTTTTTGACATTAGAATACTTCATTTATTAGCTATGCAAAATATGCCCAAGACTGGGTTTTTTCCCAGGCTTCTATCAATTTCGAGTGCTACATTTTCTTTTTTCTTTTTTCTCTTTTCTTTTCTTTTCTTTTCTTTTCGGCAGGAATGATGGACTTTTTTCTCTTTACACACCATCCTCCCCTTTGAAGGAAAAGAAATTAAAAAGTTAAAAATAATTACTGAACAAAAGCGAAGCAAAAGTGGGGGCAGGGAGGCAAACTGAGAAAATGACTTCCATGATAAAGACTGTGCTATTCATGGTGGCACGGTGAGAACTTAGCTTTAAACTGTGGTGTCTGCAGAGGGGGAAGATGCTACACCCATCATCTCTCCTTCCCCACAAGCTTAATGCAGCCAAAAGTGTCCTCTTCTGGGGCACTATCTGCAAACTAAGAGCATTAAATACATAAAGCATGGTCTTCAAACCCACATGCTAACATTTCTACCCTCACCACACACTTTGGGTTTGTTTGTTTGTTTGTTTTTTGTTTTTTTAATTTTATTTTTTTTCTTATCAGTTACATTTTATTAACTCTGTATCCCAGCCGTGTCCCGATCCCTCATTCCCTCCTAATCCCACCCTCCCTCCCTCATCTCCACCCTGCCCCTTTCCAAGTCCACTGATAGGGGGGACCTCCTCCCCATTCATCCAATCCTGTTTTATCAGGTATCTTCAGGACTGGCTGCAAAGCCCTCCTTTGTGGCCTAACAGGACTGCTCCTCCCTTGGGGGGTGGGAGGTCAAAGAGCCAGTCCTTGAGTTCCTGTTAGAAATAGTCCTTGTTCCCCTCACTATGGGAAACCAATTGGTTACTGAGCTACCACAGGCTACATCTGAGCAGAGGTTCTAGGTTATATCCATACATGGTCCTTGGTTGAATGACAGTCTCTGAGAGGACCCTGTGCCCAGATATATTTGGTCCTTGTGGAGCTCCTATCCTTTCCCCATCATACTAACTCCCCTTCTTTCATATGATTCCCTGTACTCTGCCGAAGGTT